TGGGGCCGGGTTTCTGCTCTTCTGTCTTGGGGTCTTGTTCCTCTGGCCCTACCATTCGCATTTCGCGTCTTACACCATTTCCGGGTTTCCCTTGGCGCTTTCCGGCCGTTTCGGCCGCCGTCTACCTGCACAATGGTATCTCCTCCGCCCTTCCCTTCTGCGCCGTCTCGGGCTCTATTTTTCCGCCCATTATCCGGCCAGAGTCCGCTCTCTAAAATCCGACTTCATTCCTCCTTCCTGGATTCCGCATCTCGCATTTCCGGCCTTGCTGCAGCCACCTCAGCTGCTTCGGCCGGCCGTCGAGCGGGATTCATGGTCCTCTACCATCCTCCTCCTTCCGCGCCTTCTTGCGGCTTATTTTTCCGCTCATTTCCGGCGGGAAACTCTCCATTAAAATCCGACTTCATTTTCCTGTCACAACTTCGCATTTCCGATTTCCGGGTCCCGTGCGGCCGCCTCTGCCGATTCGGCCGGTCGCCTGCTTGCACTATTGGATGCTCCTTCCCCTCGCCTTTCCGCCCTAATTTTGGCGGTATTCTTACGGCCATTCTTGGCCTCAAACTCTTCATTCAAATCCGACTTCATACTCCTTGTCTGCAGTTCGCATTTCCGATTTCCGGTTCGCGCGCGGCCGCTGGAGCCGTCTCGGTCGGCCGCCTGCTCGCACTATGGTGTCCTCTTTGCCTTAACCCTTCCGTCCTATTTTTTGCGGAATTTCTACGGCCATTCCCGGCCTCACACTCTGTTTTAAAATCCGACTTCATTTTACTTCTGTGCAGTTCGCATGTCCGATTTCCGGGTTTCGTGCGGCCGCCTCTGCCGTTTCGGCCGGTTGCCTATCCGCGTCATCGTGTTCTTCTTGCTTCCACCTTTCCGCCATTCTTCGCGCGGGATTTTTCCGACCATTTTCCAGTGTGGAAACCGTTCTTCAAAATCCGACGACATTCCCCTCCTATCAACTTCGCATTCCCCGTTCCCGGGTTTTCCGTGGTCGTTTCCGCCGCCGCATCCGGCCGTTAGCCGTATGTGTGGCCTCCCTTTCATTTCTGCCTTTTGGCAGAGCTCTAGCACTTGTTTTTCCGCCGATTTCCGGTCTGCAATTCATGTCTTCATTCCAACTTCATTCTCCGCCTTCTGACTTCGCATTTCCGATTTTCGGGTTCTCTGCGGCCGCCTCTGCCGCTTCGGCCGGCCGCCTGCTCGGATTAATTCTTCCCCTTCATCCTCTCACTCCCGCACTTCCTCGGGCCCCATTTTTCCGGTCATTTCCGGCTCGAATCCCCATTCTAAAATCCGACGACTTCCCGTCCAGTCCCTGGACTTCTGCCCTGGTCTATTGGCTTACTTCACCAATCTACAACTCATTTGGAGTCCTTATAAAACCCTTCTTAGCGGGTTTTCTTCCATGTGGTCGGCCGCGCATTCTCCGCGCATTTCCGGAATTTCATTTCCACCCCCATCCGGCCTCCATTTTTTAATGGCCCGGATTTCTCTGCTCTGACCATGTGTCTTCAGTGCCTATCCTTTGGCACTGCACACCCGGCAACGTCCACGTTTGGGTGGATTAGTGTTTCTATAACACCGGCTGTCTAGGTGAAGCCATAGAGAATTCGCTACGCACCCTATTCCTTGAGGGATGGTCTCTATGGTCCTGTCGGGCCCTTATCCGGCCCCTTCTGGTCCTCTTTCTTTGGACGCATTCTGGCCTCCTTGTAGGCACCCCCGGGTCCGTTCGGATCCGCTCTTTTCCGACCTTCCAGTATTTCTTGCCCTTCTGCCTTCACCATTCCTTTCCGCCTTCATTGCGACACTTCGGGTTCCGCTTCGGACCCGGATTATTTTTTCGCACCATTCCCGCTGTTGCTCGTGCTCCTTGGGGCAAGGAGCCTTAAAGGGGGGATACTGTCACGTCCCCGTGCCCTTTACGTGATAAGCCAAGAACGTATTCAACTTTAAAGACTCTGCGCTCACTTCCGGTCTACTCGAACTCCCGCTTCGTCTCCTATTCGCATTCTAGTGTTCCGTTGCATTCCCGCCTCGGGTCCGCTCGGACCCGGGAACACTACCATTCTAGTCACTTCCCCTTCGGCCGCACTTACTAGCCGGTCACTTCACTTCCGGGTTTCATCCCCAGCCTGTTTGCATCCAGGCCGTACTTCCTTGACTTCGCCGTATTCACTTCCTCGCAATATTCTCCCTTTGTACTGCTGCCTCGGGCCCGCCCTCGGCCGTGGACATTCCCATCATGTCTACCTCCCTTCCGGCTCCGCTTCCCCGCCGGTCCGCTATCCTGCCGGGTCCGCTCGATTTCCGATCGCATTACATTCTTACTTGCGGCACTCCTCCATTAACCTCGCATCGAGTTCTGCTTCACTCTCGTTGCTTCGCCTTCAGGTTTTCTGGGCTTATATCTTCCCCACTTCATTACCTTCTTATCTTCGGCTCCTCGGCGGCTGCTTCGGCCGCTTCGTCCATTCACACGGCCCCGTTCTCCAGCCATCTAGGTGTTGTACACTTTCTGGCTTATTACTCATTTATTCGGTCCCTCCCGGGTCCGCGTTTTCCGGTGCACTCCCCATCTCGGGTCCGCACTTTTCCGGTCCTATTCCCCTCCGGAATCCGGCCGCTTCCCGGCCTCCTCTTTGCCTATTCATTTATGCTTTCATTATCTTTCTACTTACTTACCGTACTCTGACTTTCGACTTGTACTGTCTTCAGGGTTTTCCTCGGATATTCCTAGGCCTTATTCCCATGCCTTTGATCCGACCTTATTGTCTGTCTCCCTCCTTCCTATTCGTCCTTATTGTTTCTTTTGTTATTTACTTATGATCCCGGCATTAGTTTACCCCATACGTATTTGTCCTATTGTTCACTATTGTTCTGTTCGACTTCTTACCGCTTTTGTATATACAATTAACTACTCTAGTATAAAAGCTAAGTACATACTACCATGTAGCTTAGCTTCAAAATTACTTGTTATGTGCCTACTTGTCTTGTGCTTACTTGCCATGTGCTGAACATCCTGTTCACTCTTGGTTTCCGACTTCGTCTTAATTCTTGGTTGCTTATTCTTCGACCTTTTCTCTTGGGCCGAATTCCCCTCGGATCCGGCCGTTTCCGGCCGTCTCGGGTCCGGCCCACTCTCCTCTCGGACCCGGGACCCACCCGGCCACATTCGCCTTCATTGTGCCTTCCCAAATTCCTTTCGACTTCACTATTCGGACCAGTCTTCGACTAGCTGCTTCATTTCTTGTAACAGCTTACCCTGGCCCTCTGTTTACCAGTTCTGGTGAACTCTGCCATTCCTCGGGCCCGGGTCGCACCCGACTCGGCCGCCTCGGCCGCTTCGGCCGATGCGGCCGCTTTCGAGCTTGTTTCGACTCGCCGAACCATTTACACTTATATTCCACCCCGGCCTCCATTTGGCCTTCGCCTTCTATTCCTCTGGGTCTCCGGCCTTCCCGCACCTCCGGCCTTTGACCATTTACTTACTCGGGTCACCTCTTGTCTGTGGCAGTCCACTAGCCTTCTGTCCGGTGGTCACGCATCCCAGGTAGTCGTGCACTCACCCGCCTTCATGCACCGTAGTGTTCACGAGAAAGACCACATCTCCGGCACTTCGACGATTCCCGTCTTAATCCCGTTCCGGATCCGGCGATTCCGTCCGCATCTAGTCCGTCCATTTCCATCCCCGGCACGGGATATGACACAGTGATGGAAATGAAGTTTTCCATGCTTTGTCCTCGAAACTTACCCTGCAGTTCCAGGAAAATTCGAGAGGTCATCTGCAGGTTACCTGATGACTTCTGCAACCTATGAATGTTTTTTCGGGGCGATATTTGTAGCCAAAGGTGGATTTTATGCTCGAGTCACAACCTGTCACTAACAGTGACAATTACTGCAATTGTTGAAATAACAACAACCTTGGTTCTGGAAAGGTTTCAGACGATGTAGAACATATTCTGGTAATCATAGAAGGTCTCTCAAAATTTACCTGATTTTACACATATGCTGGGGGGTCAGACTAGAGACGAGACACTTGCCATCACAAACTTTGATAGACCGGCAACTGCGTCTCACAACCTTCGCCTAAGCTTGTCCCTAGGTTTTTTCTCACCAAGCACTCAGGTAGTGTATGCTTCAGTCCCAGATCTTTCTGGGGTCAAAGGGGGAGAAAAGAGACAATGATTGTTGAAATTCAGAACGAGAGCAATATGGTGGGAACACATTATGGCACGCCACGTAAGGCCATCAAATCCAAATCCACCATCAAATCCAAATCCAAATCTGCTGCCGGAGTAACTCTAAAAATACTAGGGAAAGAATGAAGATAATATTTTCATTTTGAAGCGCCAAAATGGATCGAGTCCAGCTCACCTCGGCAAAGCAAGATCTAGGGACAGCGTACGGGGAGCTGGATCCTTAGGCGTTTGAACCGAGTACTCGAAAAGTCAGATGGTCGACTGAGTTCCGAGGCTCCGCCCGCTGCCAACCAGTGGTTCATTCCAGAACTATGGGTAGACGTCGGCCCATAGAACGATAGAACGCTGACGCGCGAGTGTACATGCCCCAGGCGCCGGCGCAATTGACGCCATTAATTCGCCTTTGGGCCACCTGGCTATTGCGGTGCCCGTATCACTGGAAATGAAGTCGATGTCGCCACTCCAGTCTGAATCAACCGAGATGAAGCGTCTGCGCGGTTTTGGCCACTTGCAGTGGAACGCATCGTTGGCACCGTTTTAATGTCGGTTGAGAAATCTCGAAGGCATCGCGCTCCGCGGTCCGAAAGACTGGATGGGAGTACGGGCGTACGAGTCGATGGATGTTGGTTTCATCATTCATGTTGGGCCGCGATCCGCCAATCACCCAAGACTGTCAAAAGCAAAACCTTGGAAGAGCGAGGGAAAGCAAGTCCGTTGAAGGGCACGGGCGCCGGATGCACCACTGGGCAAGTGGAAGATTCAAGAAAGGAAGTCGGTCGGCAAATGAAGCAAAAGGAATTCCCGCTAGCCGATTTGAACGACTGACCTCGTCATCACATACTAGTGACGCGCTCTACCAACTGAGCTAAGAGGGACTTGTCAAGGAGTCGATAGGATCAAATATGTTCTGGGGCGCAGCTGTTCGGTCACCTAAGGGTCTCCACCCAACTGTTCCTTGAGCGATCTATTATACTCGATAACTCCGTGGACCCAATCCTTTCCAGGCCAATTCATTTTCCTCTCGATGGCCAAACCAAAGTGAGACTCCAACGTTTTATTCCGATGCATAATCTCGATTCAAACATGGATTCTGCCTGTGCAGTAATAACACAAAATGGCGACTCCAATGAGCCCCAAGAACACTCTTACGAGCTTGCAAATAATTACGGTCGCGACTCCTACAAGCCTCCACAAACTAAGAATCTCCGGTGCGGGTGGTTCGAGGTATCGATTCTCCGTCAGGGTAGCGAGCGGCGGAGAGGAGGGAGTGGAGGAGAAAAGGGTGTTGATCGAGGTATCGATTCTCTGTCAGAGTAGCGAGCGGCGGAGAGGAGGGGTGGTGTTATAAAAAGAGAAAGGGTGTTGGGGCTGGTGGATCGAGGTATCGATTCTCCGTCGGGGTAGCGAGCGTCGGAGAGGAGGGGGTGGTGCGCGGAAAGAAGAAAAGGATGTTGGTGCCACAGAGTCGAAGAGCGAACCCCGGGCAGCGACGATGACGATAACACTAACCTTCTCAACTGAGAGGATTCGTGAGCTTGGGAACTACCAAGAGAAAGGAAATGAACGTACCACGACAAACTACATCACCAACCCAAATCCAGTCCTGAAGAAACTCATAAGACGCTCCGCAAGTCGAAGCGCGCGCGCCCTCGCGGCCGGCGTCTTTCTGAGTTTGGTGTCGTGCGACCCGACTACGTGCCGTGGTGCTGCGCGCAAAGGCGTCCCCCTGCGCCGCGCCTTGGCCGTCACGCCGCAGTCCTTCAGGGTGATGGAGTTGAGGGAGGTGTTGTCGCCGTCGGGATGAGAAAAGGTGTTTCGTCGTGCGTCGCACGCCAGCGAGACAAGAGCAGGGCGAGGACAGCGGGGCGCCGCGGCATCGAGTACAGCCCTCGATCCACGGCTATCCGTCCCCAACCCTGCCCACCTCTCGCGCGATGGCGCTTTCAAGAGATACGATCGTCAGCGGCGAACAGAGACACGCTAGGCGGGAACGCATGCCTGCTGTACTTTCGGGTCTTCCATGGGCGTGCTGAAGAGCATCTTGTCGGCGACACTATGGGGATGCGGGTTGACGCGGACAGCGGGTACGGACACTATTCACTGAGGAGGCCTATGGTAGTAATCGGTAGCAGAGAAGCTGAGGCCCAAACAGAACGCAAGGGTCGGTATTTATACACCACCTGGGAGGCTGACGTTTGAGTGCGTTTGCGCAAGCATTTGTTTGCAGGAAATGAATGCCAGCCACCCAATACTGCCGGATATGGTTTCTTGCGAATGATTCACCCATCACGACTAGACAGTGCACATTGGAGTTACTCTTGCGGAGTGTCTCGAAGTCCAGGTAAATTGTTGGGTTCATGTTGAACTAAGACCTTGAATGTTCAATGAAGGCTGAGGAAGCAGAGTGCGAGTGATTTCGGTGTAACAAGATGACGGATTACAGCAAGAATTGGCGACAGTGCTTGTTCGGTTGGCACAATCGCCGAGTCTAGAAAGATACACCAGCCAAGACGAGTCATTGTTTTCGCTGGGTCCTAAAATATTGAACAAGTTATTGAGGCAAGAGTGATTCAGTGAACTCGAGCCCTGTCAGAGAATATTCTCACGATTGCCAACGCGACTTCACCTTCACTCGACATGGGCCCTACGAAACGCAAACGGACAGGCGCAGCAGAAACCTCTCCGCCACAGAAACGGGCGCGTCGCGTAGCGAAACAAACCACAATCCCCATTATTGACGTACGGGAAGAATCCGACACGAGCGAGGTCGTCGCGCCACGCAAGAGGAAGGCGAAACGTGCCACAGCAAAGCCCGAGTCTGCGCCGCCCCCGAAAAAGAAGAAGAGAGCGCAGCCACCACCGGTGGTTAGCGAGGACTCTGACTCGGACGCGTCGAACGTAGTAGCTTCACCCCGCAAGCGGCGGATTCAGCGCAAGGTACAGTCGGATTCAGATGATGACCCGCAGGATGATGCGCCGAAGAAGCGCCTGCGACGCGTCGTTCGGTCTTCACCCGTGGATGATGAGGAGAGTGAATCTCTGGCGGACTCTCCGCAAAAAGGGAGACTGCGTCGCAAATCTGAGGACGATGTCAAGGCGTCGACCTTTGAATTGGATTCCGATGATGATCCTGAGGACCTTGCGCGTACGGTATTTCTCACTCCTGACCGTTCAAGTCATGAACGTTTTTAGTACCCGTCCAACCCACTGTCTCCAGGCCGACTAAGAAGGATCTCAAGTCCAGCGCACTTGCGCGCTATGCTAAAGCCAGGAAGAACAAGTCGTCGCCTGCACCTGTCCCGGTGGAAGCCGTTGACGAGAAGGAAGAGAGAGAGTTCACTCCGTTCTCCGACGCTGAGGAAGATGGATTGGAGGACGTCGCCGAGGAGGAAGAAGAGGCTGTCGACGCGGAGGACACCTTCATCGTCGATGAGGACGACGCCGACGCCGACGCTGCCCTCGAACTCGAACGCATGCGCTACTCCAGCCGCGAACTCGACGAGCATTTCGCCGTGTTCGTCGAGTACATTATAGCGCTCCATTCCGATCCCGACTATCTCTCGAAGGCGACCGAGCAAGAGAGTGCGTGCTCATTCAATCATCAGTTTTCTGTGTTTCCCATTCATAGCAATTCTTTCAGAGGAGTACTTCGACACAGCGGTAAACGCTCTACGGCGTCACCTCGACCCGCTCGCGGACTCGATGACACTCTCGACATGGAAGGCGCCGTTTATCGCTACACTGAACCTGCGGCCCATCCTCGAAGACGGCCTTTCCACCGAAGGCACCGGGGACTGCCACGCGTGTTGGACCCGCGGTATGTACGCGTGCGATCTTAGTGGCGCGTACACCATCTCTACGAGGAAGGGGATCTACGACCACAACACGTTCGAGGTCCGTATCTATCCTGGGTCGAAATCGACAGGCATTCATGTTTTATTTCGTAGCCAAAGCCAGAGAAGAAAATCAAGTACGGCAAGGCCACGCAATTTGAGAATAACGCGGAGGCGCGCAGCCTGCCCTACCCGCCCAACTTCGAGCTCATTATTGGACAACGGTGTTTCAACCGTGCTTTGGCTTAGTTCGTTCTTCTTCCATTTCTTCTCCGCAAAGAACTTACGAATGTAAAGCCACGAGGCGCGGCACTACATGTACAGTGTCTCCGTCAAAGTGAAGGAGAAGATCCAGAGCCTATGCGAGGAGGACGCGGAATTTGAGAACAATCCGAATGCGCTACTTAAAGTGATGAACGAGGAACACTTTATTGAATATGTGAGTTTCGTCTTTGCCTGAACCGCGTTTCTTAACCTCTGATTGCGCCCGAAGCTTTGGGCACAGTTCAAGTCTGATAGGAAGCAGTGGTCGCAATGGGCAAACAGAAGAGATCACGACTCGTTGGTCCAATGACAGTCAGATCGTCATACTATTTTCTTGTACATCAGGGACTCAATTCACTATATGCCCTGTCCATCTGTCTTAGATTCTCGTGCACCCTGGTTCTATGACCGAGACTCTATTCGGTGTACTGATATCCTTATCCTTGTTTATTCTGATGCAGAACACTCTTCTTCAGCAAAAGCTATGGGAATCGACCAGGACAACCTCCTCCTCCCGTTACTCACAATAATGCTTCGTCGACTCGTCTTTTTTCCACCTGAAGACCCACTCACCTATTGTAAAACAGGACTAGCTTAATCGGCTTATGCTAGTAGTCGTTCGTGCGCCAGCTTTTCTTACTTGACCAATTTCCCGAAGATTCTTGGGTCAGGAAGGCTCTTGTAATTTGGAATATCTTGTTCTCCCTCGTTGGGCACATATGCAGACGTTTACGAGGCGCGTTTGTCGTTCTTTTTCCTTTTCATGTCTTGACAATAGTCAACACTAGCATCATTGTTGACGGGATTGGTCAGTCTCATCCTCCTCCTTTTGCAAACAGCGATTAATAGCTTGTACAGATGTGCAGCGGACGGCGATGGTCACAGTCGACTCTACAACATCGGAACTCGAGATGGCCAGTACAAAAGGCTGGCATATTTGACTACCATGGTTCTCGCGCTTTCACTGAGGTGTTTGGAATAGCAGCAACAGGAAGGCGCAGAATATTAAAATTCACAGTCTTTCCGCGGGAAGCATTTCGCTTCAACCTCAGGCCTCATGCTTCGACTATCAACGGTATTGAGGTTTATGGCGATTACATGTATACTAAATCAACCGTTGTCGGTCCACAAGACGATTGCTTCGCTCGTCGCTCAGCCTGATCATGATTCATGAGTACTTTGAGCTTGATCAAGACAGACTGCATCAGTTACAAGCTAGGCACACCAAATAAAGCAAAATTTCAGCTGGGCTGAAATGCACGCTGATACTGCCGCTTTCGGCCGGGATTTTCCGCACCAATCGGCTTTGTGCGGCCCCAAAGCGGCATGCAACCGATTGGTCCGGAATTTCCCGGCCGAGAACGGCAGTATCTGCGTGCGTTTCAGTCCGAGCTGAAATTTTGCTTTATTTAGTGTGCTATAGGGTCTTTCTCGGCATGGCTGTCCTGGCGTCCGCAAGAATATGTTGCACGACGTTCGATCTGAAAGGTCGCCCCGCCTCATTCAATGAGCCCACAAATTCGAGAACAGTGTGCATCGGGATAGGCTCGATTTCAGCCTCTCTAGTCTCCCGGGCGTGAATCTGAAGATAGTCGTTCAGATTCACAAACAGAACTTTAGTTCTTGTTTGTGTCTAGCACCCAAAACATTCGGCTTATATAACTTGCCTTAAGGGGATTGTCCTCGTGAGGCACTGCTTTTTGTCACGCCAGGCTCGGCACAAGCGCCGTTCCGACAATGCCACGCAGTGCCGGACCAATGACAGCAATCCATCAACA